AAAATCGGAGGCCAAGCCCCCCCCCCCCCCCCCCCCCCCCCCCCCTCGAATCCCTCCCTCTTCTCTCCTGCGTGCGAGGCAGGCATCTCTTGATTGCTTGCTTGTTTTTCTCGCCCGATTGTGGTCCAAAAGACGTGCGTGGGACTGGGAATGGGGGTGGGGATTGGGTCTGCTACGCCAGACGTTGTAGTTGTCTGGCAAGGATGTTGGCAGCGGATGATGACTTGTCGTCCCGCGCCAGTGAGGTAGATGGTGCTGAACTGAAATGTATGCTGTTTCTCTTCTTTCGTTTACTTGTAACCCTTCATTCGAAGGGAGTTTGATTTTTTGCAGCCCGTGACTGCTGTTGGGGGCGAAAGAAAATAGGGCAGGCATCGTTGCGAATACGGGGGAAGACAAAAAGAGGAAGAAGCATATGCATTCGCCTGCCCAAAAAGGTGGTCTTGATCGCTGTTTTCAGATAGTGTTGCTTTAGATAATATTGATGGATGAGTGCGCGCGCTTGCTTTCTGCACCAGCTCTCGTTCGCGCGAGGGATTTGTCGTGCGAGACCGCGAGGCCTTGATTATCTAGTATGCGCACGCAAGAGTTTTTGTATGTCGATGGGAACACGCCCCAATGATGAGATTGGATTGTAGCAAGGAAGCGACCCAGCTTTAGGCGAAAAATTCCGAGGTGAGGGGCGGGAATGTTTTTTCTCTTGAGAAGGAGCACACCCGGCGAAATCGCAGCGTTGCTGTTGTCGCCCAATCTTGTAGGAGTCAAACCGGGGTAGGGGAGGGAGGGCATTCGAAGTAGCGAACAAAGGCTCGCAATTTTGGTGCCCAAGCTCAGCGCGGTCGTTGACGTTCGATTTTTGATGATCATGAAAGTAGCTGGGTGGTTGGTTGTCCGAGGGAAAGTATGGCCCCGAGACTTGTGCAGCTTTTGGATGCAGTCTCTCGCGACGTCTTTTCATGAAAACGACTGCGAAATGTCCGGAAAACCTGACCTCGCAACCCCGCCTCCGAATTTGTGACTCTGATGCTCACGTGGGGCCAGGACAAGAAACGGTCGTGATGTTGTCGTGTTTTGTCAACAGTTCCGTCCCGTGTCCGCTCCTGTAGGTGCCTGTGTCTTTTCAGGCGGGGTGGAGGGAGGGTATAGGATCGGGATTGCATGGTTTTTGTGTAGGGCGGGTGGGAAGAAGGCGTCTTTGGACCCTTCTCCTCGTGTACATTATTTACCTTTTGTGGTGAGGGATGCGGGAGCTTATTTTTCAGGTGACTGACATGAACTAGCTTTTTTGGGTATTGGAAGGACGAACCAATCTTCTTTTTCTCGTCGTTCTCCCGTCTCCGTATGCCGTCTTGGGGTATAGACCCTCGGCCACAACATCGTCATCGTCCCCTTCACACCCTCCTCGTTCTTGCCGTGCTGCTGCGCTTGACCACCGCCCACCGACTCGAGCTGGCATTACGCTCTCCTGTGTTGTGGCCGATGATCCTTGTGGTGGTCGGGCGTGAGAAACAATTTTTGATTCCGGGAGAGAGGGCAGGCGTGTAGCGAATGCAAAGCGTTTTGTTCTGCTTTCGAATTAGCGACACCTTGGTTAGGCATGTTTTTTTTTTTTTCTCGCGAGGGGGTTCGGGCCTTGACGTCCCTCTGCACCCACGGGCTTGGCTGTAGGATGGATGCCCAATCGTGTTGTGCGCTGCTGCCATCCCTGAAATGAATGTAGATGATGGCGGTTTTGTTTCTCGGGCATGCTTTGCCCCCCGCTTCTTGGTTTGTGGGGGCGGGGGGGTAAAAGGAAGCAGGGGGGGCTTTGCGAGGCTGCTGGGCTGTTATCCGACCCCTCGGCATGCACACAGCACACCGGGGGTACTAGCTATTTGATTCATGTGATTCGTGTCGTTGGCCTCGTCTCGTCTCGTGCGAGTATCCGATTGTTGGAAGTACTAAGTGTGTTTTTTGTAGGGTCGCTGTCGTTTGGTCGTTGTTCTTGCTACGGAAACAACCGGACTGCCGTTGGCCCCGAGGTCTCCTTGACCCACTGTGGACAAGAAAGAACCTTGGGACACTCGTCACGTCCTCGGATAATGTAGGAAGAGGTTCGCTCAACATTGACGAAGGCAGCAGCAGGCTTCGCCTAGAAAGCCAATTAGTGTTCCGCCTGCTGCTGCTGCTGCTGCTGCTGCTGCTGCTATTTTTTTTTTCATTGTTTCTTCGCGCCTCGTCGTCCTGGCGTTTTCCCAGTTGCACTCTCGAATGGCTCGTCCCGGAAAATCTCGTTGTTTCTTGCGTGCTTTGTCCGCCTAGTGGGTGGGATCGAGCGCACAGTAGACGGAACATCTATAGGTGAAACAGAGGTTCATGACTGTCGACGTGCGGGGCATCCCAACCTATAGATTCAACAGCGCAACAAAAAAAATGGCACAGAACTCTCGGCTCGTCGGTTGGTTAATTTGTCTTGAAAATCTCCCTTACGTGTTCTGTCCTGTCTGGGGTTTCTGTTGTCCATTACAATAATAGCCTTCCTCAAAAAGGAATGTATTCATGCGTGCGCATATATAATATTTGTACGGAAGGAGGGGGAGGGGGCGGTACCCTAATTGCGCCAGTTCTATTTTGTTGCGTTGGTAGGCGCCGTCATGCTTTCTTCGCCGGTGTCTCCCCTCGACGCTCGTGGTCTTGATGCCGTTGTTTTATTCTGTCCGGGGGGGGGGTTGCAGCCAGCTGCAGTCCTCGGCCCTTGGCGTGTTATTTTGCTAGAAAAAGAGTGGCGCGGGAAAAAGGAAGAATGTCCGGTAATTGTATCAACAACGTGCCACACTTGATAATTTAATTCCCAAAGCAAAATTTTGTCCCCTCGCGGTTTCGTGAAGAGACCTCACGTGGGCCTCGAGTCATCAACGAAACTAACTACTTGTACCAATTGTGCCCCACGGGTGGACGATGTCGCTGACTCAACTCATTTTTGTCGGTGATGAAGATGATAATGGTGTGTTTGCCTTTTTCCTCGCTCACTCTGGGAAACATATCATGAGCTGCAACATCAGTCACCACGCTTTTTTTCATCGCTTTTTCCCTCCGATTCTGGGTAAAAATATTACGTCTAGCTCCGGATCATCGGTCACAACCTCAAGCCAGCACAAATAACGCATCCATGATTAGACATCGACAAAACAAAACGTGTTCCGTGCGCGCCGCCGCTCTGGACAGCACCACCAGTACGTTCACTTTCGTTTTCAAAGTTTTTCAGCCCTTCCACCACAGATGCACTCGCTCGGGTCAATCCTCGAGCCACTAGGCGGCTCCAGCTAGCTATTATTATCGTGGCGGTGGTACTACACCTCGAATTTGTCCGCCTGCTGCTACTACTGCTTCATTCTCCTCCGTTTCCCTTTGTTTCCAAAAAAACGATATGCCACAAACAAACTCAGTTGCATTCACCACCCCGTTCTACTGCTGTTTACTCGAAACCCCAGAATACCAACAGCAGCGCGCGTAGTGTTGGTTTTTAGTGTCCCACCACCACCTCTCCTCCGTAAATATTGTCTGTTCCAACCAAGTCTATCATCGCATGTATCCTCCTGCGGCTGCTAGTAGTGGTCATGGTGCTGCTTTTTTGCCCCCGTTGACCCTCCCAACAACAGGTCAGGGTAGTTTGCTCGCGTTGGTACCACCACCGGTGGTATCATCGTGTTGACCGAACGCTATCTATTATCTCCCATCGTCATGTCATTCGGGCGAGACGAACAAAAGAACGGAACCCACCGTGCATTCACAAGCGCGGGCAAAACTGATAGATAGCTGCTTGACACCTGTCAAAACACGCACTGACGACTCGTGCTGGAGCTCAAGTTCGCCGTCTTTTCTCTCTCTCTGTCCAACTCTCTCTCTGCGAAACTCGGTGTGCGATGGCACTTTTCTTATAACAACCACGTTTGTCTGTCTAAATCATAATCATCAGAGGATGGAAACACGAACGAGGAGCGCGTGACACCAAACAGATCGCGAACACGACAAGAGGAGCGCTGCTGCAATGTCGCACACGAACATCATCCCCACCGCCGCGAAAGCTTCCATGCATAGATCGGTTCAAGGCTTCGTGCCGTTCGCGTCTGGTGGCGACGTCTGCAAAGATATCGGAGTGAAGTCCCGAAGTGCACCTCTCTTCTCTCCAGTCTCGCCTCGCTTGTTGCACACCACCTGTGATAAAATACTACACACCTTTCGCAGACCGGCACCACCTTCTTCCCTGACGTATCCCGCTGGGCTGTGGATCCATCAGGCAATGTTAACAGCACTGACGCCCGACAACGGCGCCGTAGAGACTATCATCTACTTAATTAATCCAAGGCGTATCCCGCAAGGAACAGAACGAAAAACGCGAAGAGACTTCCGAAGATGAGAAGGTTCTTCTGCGAACCCGTCATCTGGTTCGCGCCGAGACCGTAGTTGGCGTTATCCTCGAACCCTGCTATTGTTTTTGTTTGCGCGAAGAAGGTGTCCTGCAAAAACGCGAAAAATACAGCAACGGCAAATTACGTCAAGGGGATTGAAGGGTCGCGATGGGGGGGGGGGGGGGTGGCCAAGAAGCCTAGAGGGATAGGTGCCAATATTGGAGTGTCGGCACTCCAACAAGGGAGATCGCTCATAACTCACAAGGATGAGGTACGCCTGGCACAAACAACGCAGGTGACGTAAAGGACTGGGTAACACAGAGAAACACAAGCTAACCGAAACAAAAAACGAAAAGAAGGACACATCCTGTATATACACCACATACCACAGGATATCGATATCTGAATCGGCAGTGGTTTGGTTGGTTTCTGCTCCCTGGTGGGAGGTGATATCGGTATCTGAATCTGCAGTGGTTTAGTTGGTTTCTTCCCCCTGGTGGGAGGTGATACCAATGCCACGAAAAAACGACACAGGGTCACGGAAGGTCTCGACCGCGTGTATGTACGTAAGAACGACCGCGTGCCGCCTCGGGTGGGTGAGAGCGTGGGGGTCAACGTCGCTTCTCCAGGGGTTTACCTTGGGCGCCTTGCACACGGGGCAGATCCACGTGGAGGGAAGGTCGTCGAACTGCGTGCCCGGCAACGCGCCCTGACCAGCGTTCTCCGGCTTGTACACGAAACCGCACTGAAGGCACTCGTGGTCGCCTACGACGGAGCCATGGACGCACGCACGCAAGCGGAGAAAAGATTCGCAGAACGGATACTGCTCATTCACGCATGGAGGTAGAAGCTGCCGAGAAATACGCAACACACGGTTAAGTTGTCGGATAGTGCGAACCACAGCAGTTCATGCGTGTTATCTACTCCTAGCACGGTGCATAGTGCTCCCATTGCATCCCATCCCGATAGGGACGCACGCGAAGCACACCGCTTGTCCCGGGGATGTCACCGACCGGGCTCGGAGACGTTCAGGCAGGGCGCCCACAGCTTGGAGGCATGGCTGCGGGGCGTCACGACAAGCGTGTCGCTGGCAAGAGAAACGGGTCATTTATAGCGGCATCCCCAGAACCGACAGTTTATGAGGCGGGCTCTGGGGGCTTTCCGCTTGATTTTTCGCGGAATGGAGCCCATTTCCGTGTGTTTGTTTGCGGGACAATAATTGGCATCCAATGATACCGCCGAAAATGGCAGTCAGGCAGAAAGCTTCCTCCGTGTATCCCAGCCGACTTGTCGCAACGGCCCTCTCCTCAACACCACACGATATATGAGCGCAGTGACGCTGACGCCCGTCAAGCACTCGTCAGAGAAGAACACTCTTCCGGTGTCGACACCCTTCTACGGGAAAAACAACAGGCGTGGTAGACACAAATCATTAACTTGATTGCCCCCCAAACGGTTCACACCTGTTGCCGTGCCTCTCGCGTATCACCAACTTGCATGCTGTTGGGCGGTGGTCATATTGTTTTGGGTGTTTGCCTATCCGGCACAGCTACAGCAGTAAGTACGACTACAAGGGGAAGAGCTTAGGCTTTGGAAGTTAGGAAGAGAGATACCCGCATTAGGGCGGAGGTGCGACATGGTGCACGTACTAAGTCATGCAGCTCCCGAGGCAGAATGGAGGAGGTCTCACAACGTCGAGGAAATAAAGCAACACTGCAGAGGGGGGGGGCTCCGTCGAGAGAGAGGACAAATACACCGCCGGTGGATGAGGCATGGCGATCTGTTGGGATAGCACAGGAGCGAGAAACCGATGGCTATACTTGAAACGGGAGAGTTAAATATTGCTACAGCCCGGTTCACCTTGATCGATGACGCGAGTCTTTCATCACAGGCAACAAGAGCGGCATTGGAGAGGCCCCGGCGGGTGATTGTCGCATTCGAAAAGAGACAGCAGTTATGTCGACCGCTTGGCGGCATTCGCGCGTTCTCTCGGACGCTGATCTCCGAGGTTTATGAGGGGGGAATTCGGTTACGATGAAGGAGGGGGGGTCCAGAGGGTGTATCCGGCAGATACTCTACAAGGCGCGCCTCCGGAGTGGGCTCATCAAAGCATTGTAGTACAAGTAGGGTCATCTAGGCGTGATGCAAGATGAAAGTAAGGCGTGTTAGGCGCGAATCAGCTCCCAGCTGCCATCGGTGACGTTTTCGACAAGCTCACGCTGGTGGCGACGTGTTTTAACTCGAAGAGCCCAGGGAACCGCACCGACCAAAAGTTCACAAATCTGTGCACAGTCTTCTTTAGCGTTGATGGGACTTTCCTGGGATATGGATGCATGATATATTCCTTGATGCATTTACTTCTCTGCCTTTGGCATATGGTGGTTTTCCCGATATCCTGGCGCTTCTCCAAGGGCGTTTCACGTCCGTCGGGCAAGTTACTTAACCCGGTTGGAGCAAATACCAAGACGTGTTCTTCGCCAAAACAACAGGAAAACTTGGAGATACAAACCTACAGCGGTCATGTGCCGCCTACCTCACTCTGGTAGCAAAGAGCTCATGATCGACTTAATCGCTAAATCTGCAGCGCGTGTCCGTCGACGTCCTCGGCGCGTTCTCCAAAGTGCTCCTCCTGTCTGCCATGTTTTGAGCTCACGGAAGAAGCACTTGGCAACGACATATCGTCGCCACGCTGTGTGTACATGCTGCGAATTTTCGTGTATACGTGCGCAAGGACTTCCTACCGGAATACAGTCAATCGCTGCATGATTACCGACTCATACGCATTGTAGCCGTAAGAGTAAGGTCACCCGCCATCATGCGCTGGGAGAAGCTGGCTCTAAATTGGCAGAGAGTGAGAGAGACGCTATGCTGCTGTAGAGGGAACATGAACACTCCCTGAACATTTCTTGTCCTTCTCCACGGCCAACGCAGCAGTATCGCGCAAATGGACAATTTGATCGAGTCGCAGCAAACCCTGCGGTGGTGTGACCGCGCACTATGAATATAACATGCAAACTTGCTGCTGCTGTGGGTGGGGGCGCTTCGTCCCAATTATGCTCTCATGTACTTTGCACATGAATATGGTACAAGCCATTACCTGTCTTGACCGTGGTGAACTTCTCCTTGGCGCGAAGGCGCTCGATCTCCTCCATCTTGGCCTTCTGCGCCAGCTCCGCCTCCGTCAACGGCTTCTCCTCGACGACCGCTACCTCCGCCCCATCCCCACCACCACCAGCAGCAGCATCGGGCTCACTGCTACCCTCTGCTGACGCTGCTGAAGGACTGCTGTCCTCCCCTTCGGAGAAGAGAGTCGTGTACGAGGAGACAGGCGGCCTCGGACGCTGCTTCAGCAAGCACAGCGGCGACGTTGATCTGCTACCTCTCGCCCGGCTGGCCGCTTGTTGCGTCACGGCGCATCGCGCCGGCGCTGAAGGAGGTGGATGGATCCACCCGCGGCCGTGGCACCACGCCGATCAGAGGAGGGGTGGGGTGACACAAACAAGCAGCAGCAGCATCAGATCATCGGCAGTGACACCGACGCACACAACAGGACACGTCAGCCAACGTCACACGAAGGTCAACGCACAAACCACCATAAAACAGCGGCCACACGAACCCATGTCCGCGTCTAAGAGCACGATGGGGCAACGATTGAGCTGTTTCGCATTGCTGCTGTACAACAGGAAGATATTCGAATGTCGAACATTCATCATGCAGGACGAGGGCGGGGAGAAATCTAAACATGTCTCTCGGGGGGACAGATGTTCGTCACCTTGCACGAAAGCTCCCGCGGGTACGCCTGCTAGCAGTGCCAAGCCCAAAGAAACAGAGGTAGAAGACACCATGTCGCCTCGGTCTCTTGCTTTCGCGTAAGTGGAAGGGGGGGAGGACGAGAGCAAGAAACGAGTGCAGGCACACAGCAGCACAGCGGAGAGGTACAGCAGCAGGAAGTTGCAGCAGCAGGCAACAGGGGACAGGCCGGTCGCGGGGCTCCGTGAAATGGCGAGGGTACATTTATCGATTCGCGGGCGCCCCACTAGCTCGCCGACACTTCACTGCACAGGCTATTTATTATATGTCATAGCCTTTGCTTGACTGATCACTACACACAGGACACAGAACCTTGGGGCCATGGCTGGCGGGAAGAGCTCCCACCCAGAATGCCACTTCGCGGCCTCTGGCGTGGCTGCGATAATCAACTTCCCTCTGTGGAGAGCTGCGGCAATCGGCCAGAGCGGGTTTGACACAACAACGAACATGGGAAGTAATTTCTTTCAAAGGTGCGGTGGTACTTCGAGGCAACATTCGACAGACCTGGACTGCTGCTGTTGCGTGCCAGCAGGCAGCAGCACACCAGCTGTGCACCAGCCCTCTATGTGCATGGTATTGGCTTTTATTGGTGCGAAGGCCTATGCACTCTAGCTTGCATGGTAGAACGTGGAACTTACGTCGTCTATACACAGCAGCGCAGCAGTCAAATGATTGATCGGTTGGCTTCAAACTTGGCTGCGAGTATGTACGTCAGCAGGCACAACAGCCGTGCAGTTTAGAGTTACAGCAGTTGGGTTTTTCTGGACCCTTTAGTCTAGGCACAATCCACCTCTGGCCACCGTAGCGCGAGTGGTGTCCACTCACCGTCTGCAAAAAAGGAGTTATGTCGAACTTCCGAGAGTTTTTAACTCCTCCCGTCCGTCATGCAACCTCGTTGCTGTTGCAGATCCAACAACATCAGCATTTATTTGTTTCTTTGTGTCCCCTGAACCTATCTTCCCTCAATCGTTTCCCTCGGAATATATTGCACACTCTACCCCAGGTATTTGGAAGCCCTGAAACCACCGTACAAAGGGGTTGCAGCGACTATAATTGGGGTGAGTAATTGGAATCAAATCTGTTCAGACCGCCTCGTTTCACTTACTTCTGTGTAATGAACTGCGAGGACTGCAGTGTACTTCAGGCCATTTTGCCCCGAGAGAGGTTACGCGCCCACATTGCATATGGAGGAAGCCTCTCTTGTTGATTGGTCCCTTTTAACTGCATGTTGCCTTGCTCTCCATGCGTATTCGCACCCAGATGACGTGGGCGCGCGCCTTCATCTTCTACGGAAGCGATCGAGGCAAGCGCAAGCTGGAGGAGCTAGGGTACTCAAGCCGGGTGGTGACGGTGGCGGTGCCGCCTCTCGTCTTCTCCACTGTGGTTCAGTTGATAAACATGCCCATCATCCGAGCAAGGTGTGCTATTTAGTGTTAACCCCTTTAGGGCTGGATCGCCTTTTGGGGACACTTTTTGTCCCCATCTTCTTCACCTGCTTTACCTCGCGAAGATTGGCATGATTGTCTCCTCCTTTGCACTACTCGACCAGGGGAGTGCCAGGGTACACAGGGACGACTCTAGTCTAGTATGGATGCTTTGTAGAGTGGAGGAGTATGAGGGTAATGAACAGGTCGAATCGCGGGGCGATTACGCCGCCGGTTCAACAGCGAAGTTGCACCGCGTCTGTTTACCCTTGGGTGGAAAGCGCTACTAAATAGGGGCAAGCGCGGAAGAAGTACCTAGCCCACCGTTGAAAGGAGGCACCGAGCAACCCAGGGCTTGAGTTAGAAGGTCTCGCTTTCCCTCTAGATAAATATCTTGAAAACCTCCTTTTCGTGCCCCGTTTACCACGCTCCCGCCAGTTGCTGTCTATAATCCCTATCAAATGTCCCCTCGTGTCCCCTCGCATCGAGGGGACAATTGATAGGGATTATAGACAAGAGACGGCTCAAGTGGGAAGGCAGCTTTGCACTTGCACCCAGGGATGGAACTGTCTGCACCATCCAATCAGCAGGCGTCGTTCGCTCTTTTTCTTAAATTTCAGAAATTTCGCAAGACCTCCGAATTTTCTGTGCGTGGTAAGGGGGTTAAGAGAGACACGCGAGACTACAGCAGTACAGCAGTCCTACTTGTTAACGTTTTCGTAGAAACGTGATTGGCGAGAAGGGAATCAGCAAGTCGTGCTTTGGTAGACGATATGGGGGCTCGACAAGGAAGCCAGCTGCCGCAATGCTGTTTCGAAGCAAGCACACAACTGTTTAGGCACATAGTGGAGACCCAGCCACTCCATGGAGTTAAATTTGTCGCTGCCATGAGGGAAGATGAAGGGGTTGGGAGCTGTACTGCTGTAGGCTTGCTCATCACTCATCACCACCGAGAAGGAAGCGTGCAGCTGAAATAGTCTGGCCGTCATGTCTGTTGCTGTCTCTGCGGTTTCCGGTGACATAGAGCAAGAACCAACCGGCAATGAGGGGCTAAGCAAGAAGTCGTCTTCCGCCGCTTTTTGTCATGGGCTTCGTAAGTTCATGTGCGCCGAAGACAGACGAGAGAGTCTCGGTTTGTGGGCGAAGTGATGACTATTCAGCCCCTGAACACCATTAACACCACCGCCACCACTGTACCAACTACATTGTGCGGCGCCAATGTCTTGGCCAAAGTCTTACCAGCGGCTACTCTCCTTCCTCCTCGCCCAACTCATGTCTGCTTTATTCGGATGCCGTTTAATCGCGGGTTGGGGTCACGCTTGCGGTTCGGGGGCACCGGGAACGCACCAGCATTACCATCCAGGTGAGTTCTGTCGTAAGAATTCGACTTTCCCTGAGGTAACGTTTGCTTTAGAGTTTCGAGGCCGAAACCCATCAACATCAAAATTACGTGACTGAACCGCCGGCTGTTTTCGGCGGTAGAAAATTATTGTTCTTGCAGCGCGCTAGGCCCTTTTTTTTGGTCGCGTCCCGCTGGAGAACGGCTGCCTTCCGAGTCGAAACCCAGACGAAAGCTATATCTGTTGTTGTCGTCGTTGTTGACGTGGCAAGCGCCTCGCTCCCCGTTGCGCGCGTTCGTCATGAGAGTGGGACCGAGGCAGTGTGCTCCAACTGCCTGGACCGGGCAGACCTTAACCTTTACCTTGGCCCCCGCTCATCGCTCACTCTCCCGTAGTGCTGTAGAGCGTCCGTCCATACACGTATGTACGAGGGTGCGCACAGGATTGGCCGTGCCGCCACCCGCGTTGGGTTTCGTCTCGCCGCTCCGCATTTTCCCGACGCGCACGCAGATTCCGAATGCCATTCGTCACAAAGCAGACGCGCTGTTGAAAACCTCCCGTAGGCTGCATGAGATACCACGCCGCCTGGACCAACATTTCATCTCAATTCCTTCACGACGACGAGGACGCCAAAATCGAAAGGATGCGTTGTCGGAGTGTTCTGGACGAGACCGTTCCACCGCCATCAAGGTCGTTGTTTTCGCCGCAAGAAAAAGAAGTACGTAGAGCTGAGGGAAATCAGTCCATGGGATGTGGTATGATATGCAACCGAAGGTGCCCACTTTGCCCCGTGTTTATGATCATTTTTGTGTTTGCTTGGTGTTCTTTTGCCAGAACCCGGACTCGAAGTTTTCCTCCGTGAGGGAGTCGCTGGCAGCCATTTACAGAAAAGGCGGAGTTGGTGCGCTGTGGCACGGCACTTCCGCAGGGGTCATGAAGACCGTGCCCAAGTATTGCGTCGCGGTATCCGTCAAGGTGAGTTTGATCGCGCCTGGAGGGCGCGTGGCACGAAGGTGTAGTGCTTCCGACGGTGTTCGTGTCGTCTGTTTAGGTTCTACTCGTAACGTCGTGGAGAGTACGCCCCCCAATTGATTTGCGCATGGTTCAAGCTGCAAAGCTCGTCCGCTCGTGCGCCAACCGTTCGGCCCTGCTTGGCATGCGAGCTTCGGGGAAGGCCCTCCGCAAGTTCTCTCCGAGTGAAGCAACGCGGCACACAGCAGTGGGGATCACGAACGTCTTTCGACTTTCTCCCCTTTACCACCACCGCCGCTCCGTGATCCGGGTCCTCCGCCCGTCCCTCTCTGCTCTCCCATATAACCGCGTCCCGCCGCATTCACCGTACCGTGCAGGACTACATGGAACGGAACCTCGCTCCCGCCGACCACGGGGATCGATGGGGGACGCTGTGGCGCTCCGCCCAAAAATCGGTGGCCGCCGGGGTGGCCGGCGCCGCCCTCACCAACCCGCTGGACGTGCTGAGAAACGAGATGTTCAAGACGGACTTGGGCGTGAGAGACGCGCTGGCCAAGCTCAGGCGAGAGGAGGGGTCGGGGTTCGCGGTTCGCGGAATGAGCAAGAACCTGGTGGCCGTCGCGATCCCGATCACGGTGACGATTTTCGTGACGGATGTCCTGGTGCGCGCGGTTGAGGAGTGAGGGGGGGCGCGTGCTTGGGTGGCGAGGAGGAGGGGGGCGAGGGGGAGGCTAGTGCAGAGAATGCTCGCACTGTCTCTCTCTCTCTCTCTCTCTCTCGGGTCTTTTTTCAGGCGGAGAGGGGCGACATGAATCAATCGTGTCGTGGCACTTGGTGTGCTGTGTTGTGGGAGACCTGTAGCGGTCGAGAACAGCAGCCTTACCGGAGAGCCGAAGCCAACGTCAGAGGAATGGAGAGGGGGACTAACATCTCTTGTTTTCTCTCTCCGAGACGAACGGAACGAGGAGGGGGGGGGGGGGGATGGTTGACTTGTAACCCCGTGCCGGAATTGCGGAATGCGGCAGACCTGTAGCGGTCGAAGAGCAACCCTCCCGGGCGGAAGAGTTGGTTGGCGAGCCCGCGGCGGGTCACGCTGATGGCTACAACGAGATCCGGCGCGAATGGTGCGCAGGGCGGGGGAAGAGAACGGAACTGCGCCTCCCATGTTCCTTATTTCTCTTGATGGAGACGGAAAAGACGTAGCATCCCCACATGCCACGGTGGATCAGGCGCGATTGGTGCGCGCGGGGGAGGAGGGGGGGGGAGAAGGGAATGCGTCTCCCATGCGCCTCGTTTTTCTGGGCGGAGACGGAAAGAGGACAGCATCCCCACTTGCCACCGCGGTTGTGGGTGCCTTGTGTTGATGCTCCTGCAGGCCTTGTAGCGGTCGTGGAACAACAACCGTTCCGATTTTGAGGGGGCAAACGTTGCAGCAGGTCTGCAGCGCGGTGCCAAAAAAGCTGGTATTGTTCATTCGGAGTTTTGCAGCGCGGTGCCACGAAAGGGTGTGAGGTCAGAGAGCGGGCGGCTCTTGGGCCGCACGCGGTAGGAATAATTTGGGGGGTTTCGCCTCGTCTTGGGAGGGAGAAAACAGGGGATGTTACTGATGTCTTCTTTCGCTTCGCGTCTTACCGTGTCTCGTGGCGATTGTGGCTGTCGATTCGGACGGATTCAAGTATATTAGGCAAGAGCGTGTTGTTGTCATGCAAAAGTCCTCACCCCCACACATAATTTTGTGTTGCGAGACTCAACGAGGTTTGCGTTCTTTTGTATATGGTAGTCTCAGTCGAGGCAGCTTGCTCGCCTCCCTTTCCGTGACGGGGTGCGAACTGCGTCCACAAAGGCTTGCGAGGGGTACCGCAAGAGCCCAACGAAGGGCGTTCTGCCTCGGTGTTTTGTGTGACTTTCGCCCTCAGAGAAAACCTCCGTCGGAAATTTCGGGGATTTCTCCGCTTTTGCTGTGCCGGAGCACGCCTTTCTTGTTGCTGTGGTCGTTTGTGTTCGGGGTGTTGTTTGTATGCATAGCCGAAACGATAAGCGGTGTCAGTGTCTATCGATCGGTTTTGGTTTTTGTGGTTGTAGTCCGTTTTGTGGTGCGTGAATGGGGTGAAATTTTGAGGCCATGTCGACATGTTCGGCCGTTTTTTAAAGAGTGTACGATTATCCGCGTGCTGGTGATTTACTCTAGGTCGGTGTGGATTGCTGTTAGCATCCAGGTTCTACATGTGTTTTGCTGTTTTGGGAGGGTACAACGGTTGGACGAGCATAAAGAAAACGCACCCATGCCAACACAGCTGGATTCTCCTTAAATTTCAGCGAAAGGGCTAAAGCCTGGCGGTATCTACATGCACGTCCATGTCAACGCCGACCACCAAACAACGTTGTTTGTGTAAATAGTAATTTTGCTCAGCAACCGGTCAAGATTGGTAGGGCTCAACAAAGCTCCAACACCACCGCTGTTTCGCATGTAGATATCGTCGAGCAGAGTCTCCCCTTCTTTTCGAGCGAACGTCGAAAACACCCGAGAAAATCAACGCCGTACTCAACCCTATATGCGGAGAAGGTGCCAACCCGAATACGCTTAGGGCAACCAACATCGGGGACACGCACAGACGTGTTGGAAGGCGGCCTGATGTTTTTTGTCCCGCCAGTGAGGGACACTAGCTTGTTTCATCTTTTATTGGTGGACCAGCACGACCCTGACAACAAGAGACACACGACGCTGCAGCTGAAAACGCGACCAGCGCTCGTCTTTCCGTACACTACGTTATCTTGCACACGCCAGCTCATCTGCTGGCTCGAACTTGCCGAACCCGCCGCCGTCGCCGGCGCCACCACCGCCGCCGCCCCCGCTTGCTTGGCTCTGCCGCAACAGGTCGTCCGAATCGACGTCGTGCTGCACACGCCAAAGATTGACGCGGGACGTTTCCGGTACAGCGCCGACGATTCTGCTACCTGCGACCGCTTTGCCGCCAGCCCCGCGCGGCCGTCGGCGACGGCTTTTCTTGTCCAGGTTCGCTCGCATGACGTCGTACACTTCCTTGGCACGGCCACGAAGCCCGGTGTTTTCGAGCGAGAGCCGCTGGTTGCCGTTACCAGCGCCGGACGTGCCCGCCTCTTCGCCGATGCTCCCGGCGGCAGCAGCGCCAGCGCTGCTGCCAGCAGCACCGCCTCCCGCAGCGGAGGAAGAGCCAAAGTCCAGCGAGACCCCTTGGGTCTTCTTGGATGCATCGTCATCCGCCTCGCCCTCCCCGCCGCCGCCATCAGCCCGGCCCTCTCCTGGATCTTGCGTCTCGATCACCCTCCGACCCATGATGTCGATGGACATCTTAACCTGGCGCCTCGCTCCGCGGCGGCTGGCCGCGTCATCCCTGCGCACCTTTTCTTCGGCCTCGCCCTTCTCCCGCTCCCGTTGGGACAGCCAGTTGTGGCTCGTGAAGTAGTCCTGTCGTGGAGACGGATATCATCAGGAACAACAACAGCGCCATGTACCTGGTCAGCGCGAGAGGTGTGATGGAACTTCGAAAACGGGCGGTCACTTCGAACGGAGGGGCATCCTGTTGCCCGCGTCATCTGCGGCTTAAAAAACAACACGGTGGATAGCGTGTCTTCAAAGTCGAGAGCAAAACCCAGGGAGTGATCTTGTAGGCGACGATGAAATTGCTGTCGCAGCCGTCCTCTTACCCCCTGGTCGTCGAGAACGCGGGTGCGCGAGGCCGACGTCCGGTCAAACAAAAGGAGCCTGTCCTTCCTCTCCAGAGCCTCCTTCAACGCCGCCGACTGTGGCGCCGTGGCGCCCGCGGCCCCGTCGACGCCGCCGCTGGCGGCGCTGCGAGGCTCGCGGCCGGTGGTCGGCAGCCGGCAGCCACAGAAGGAGCAGCCGAAGCCGCCCTCCTTCACACAGGCGATCTTGCCGCAGTCCGTGCAGTTCGTCACCACATCGTGCGTCTTCCCCATGCACAGGCACGTCACGCCGGACCACTCTGGGACCGGTGCCGGCGCCGGCGCCGGCGCCGGCGGAGTTGCCGGCAGCGCAGTGGTTTTCGCCCCACCGCCGCCGCCGCTAGGCTTGGTCGCAACTGCTCCTACTGCTGCCGCGAGCGGGGCAGCAGCAAGAGGTTGCTTCGACGACACTCTGCCGCCGCCAACACCGCCTTTGGTTGCGGTCCCGGTTGCCCCTCCTGCCTTGCGAACGTTCGCTGCGGCCGCAGCCGGCGCTGCTGCCGCTGGCGCCGGTGCTGCAACTACTGCGGCGGCGGCAGGGGCCGGTCCCCGCTTGCCTGTACCGTTCTTTCTGCTACCGGGAGCAGCTGCGGAGGGCACTGAGGCCGACTTCGCGCGGCCGGACTTAGTTCCTCCGCCCCAAAACTCTTCCTCTGCCGCGGCCTTCTGGTACACCTTGCCTCTGCCCTTGCCCCTGTTGTTGTTGTTGTTGTTGTTGTTGTTGTTGTTGTTGTTGTTGCTGTTGCTGTTGTTGCC